CACTGCAGCTAGGAGATGCAGAACAGTGCTGTCACCCACATCATTTCCTCCTGCTCACCATTTGAAGTCAGCCTCCTCACCCAGCTGTTCTTTGCCCATACAGTTTTTCCTTTTTCCAGAATGTCATACAAATGGCATCCTATAGTGCATATCCTTTTGATCCTGTCTTCTTTGGCTTAAAATTCTACATTTGTAAGCCATTGATGTTGTTTCATATTTTGATATTTTTTCTTTTTCATTGCTGAATAATATTCTGTGTTGTGGATGTATTATGTTTTGTTTATTCCTTCATCTTTTAAGGAATGGTCAGATGGCTTCTTGTTTGGACCATTGAAATGGAGCTGCTGTAATATTTGCACCCAGGAGTGGGATTCCTAGATCATAGATCAAATGTATGCTAACTTTGTAAAAAACTGACAAACTGTTTCCCAAGTGGCTGGTAGTTTTGTATTTCTGCTTATAATGTGGAGGCTTTCTTTCAGTGGCTGTGCATTTCAGCACTTGGTACTTCCCATTGTTTTTCATGTTTTTACTTGAACTTTTCTAATACTAGCAGGATCTCTTTATGTTTTTTGTTTGCTTGTTTGCATTTGTTTTTTTCTTTTGTACCAGAGATTGAACCTTGGAGTGCTTAACCACTCAGCCACATTCCCAGACCTTTTAACTTTTTATTTGAGACAGGGTCTCCCTAAGTTGCTTAGGGCCTTGCTAAGTTGCTGGCCCTGTGTTTGACCTTGGGATCCTCCTGTTTTAGCCTCCCAAGCTGCTGGGATTATAGGCATGCACCACCCCACCAGGCTCTCTTTATGGTTTTTAATTTGTTTTTTTCATAATGACTCATGATGCTTAACATGATTTCATAAGCTTAGCATTTGTATGCCTTCTCTTTTTTCTGGAAAAGTCATATACTTTATTTTACTTTTTAAATTTTTTTTATTTGTTTTAATTAGTGATACATGACAGTAGAATGCTTTTATACACTTTGATACGTCATATATAGATGAGATATAATTTCTCATTTTTCTGAGTGTACATGTTGCAGAATCACATTGGCCATGCTGTCACATATATACATACAGTAATAATGTCTGTTTCATTCTACTGTATTTCCTATGCCTACATCCCCTCCCCTTCCCCCTCATCAATTCCCTCTGCCTAATGTAGGGTAACACTATTCTTCCCTAGTGCCCCCTGCCTTATTGTGAATTAGCATCCACATATTAGAGAAAACATTCTGCATTTTCTTTTGTTAAGTGTTGATCATATCTTTTGTATATTTCTTATTGGCTTGTTTGATGAGTTTTGAGGATTCTTTATTCCTTTATGTTGTCACATATGTGGGCGGTCAACATTTTATCCCAGTCTGTGGTTTGTATTTGTACTCTCTTCATTCTGTTTTTCATGCAGCAAATTTTTTTTAGATTTATTGAGATTCGGTTAACCAGTTTTTTTTTGTTTTGTTTTATCGGTTCTTCTTTTGGATTTGCATCAGAGAAGTCTTTGTCTAACTCAAGGTCACTAAGAATTTCTTCTGTTTCATTTCAAGGTCTTGTAATTTTACTTGTTTTTGCTTCAAACTATGATGGATTTACATGATATGAACTCCACTCTATGTCTATTTGCACATAGATGTTCCAGTTAACCTAATTCATTTGTTGAAAGCATTAGACATTCTACAGTCTGTACCTCTGACACAAACCAAGTGAACTTACTGGTGTAGGGGTTTGTTTTTAGACTCTCCTGTTTCATCAGTCTGTGTTTCTGTCAATGCTAATACTCTGTCTTAGTCTAGCATAGGAGTAACTCCTACAATCAAAGTCAATCCTTCAAATTGGATCTTCCCTTTTAGCATCATTTTGGCTGTTCTTCTACCTTTGTTTTCCACATAAACGTTAGAACCTTTTTGTCAATATGTTCAAAAAAATCTGCTAGGTAGTATCTAGCTAGGGACTGAGTTTCATCTCTAGGTCAATTCAGAGAGAAGTGGCATCTTACTGTTCACCCTGTGAATCCAGGAACATGCTATATCTATCCACTTAGGCATGGATGCTTTTGACTCTGTGTACGTGCATGTGCGTTTTACTTTAAGTAGATAACAGAAATAGAAGAAAAATAAAACAAATATGAATCTCCCATCTGTGATGGTCTTTCTTCTCCTTGTGCTGCCCTCTACCATATGCTTTGTAAAGTTCACAGTTAGATGCTATTTTATTCCTTCCAGGATCAGGATTTATACTCGAAATTAGTTGGAGAAAGAGCATATATAGTAGGCTTACTCTAACTTGTTTAATGTTGAAAATCTTTTGTCTTTAGTTTTAATCATCTAAATCCCTTCCTGTTTTAGATAACATGGATTACAGATTCAAGAGCTTCTTCCCCTTTTGATAATGTCAGGATGTGTAATTTAAAAATAAATGAAATGGAAATTGATGTGACAGTTTGCAGAATCATCAGGGTCTGTCTGGGAGCATTTCTTAGCAGGCAGTAACTTGCTGACAAATAACAGGAGTTAGCATGTAACACAGGATCTCACAATATTACCATTTATTTAGCCCCAAAGAGAATATAATTTCATGTGTCCAAACACATCTCAGCTGATTGGTAAACTCTAGCATCTTCCAAACTAAATTCTCCTAAATCTCAACGGGATTTATTATCAAGAAGGTATAAATAGCTTTATCTTCCAATAAAAATAATAATCATATTTTCCATTTTATCTGCAAGAATTTGAAATCCCCGAATTTATCCTCTCCAAGTATTAATTGAATTTTTAATATATGTCCTCTTTTTAAGTTATTTGTAGTGTACACACATGAAAAAAAATACAACTGGCCTTTTTTTTCTGTTTTCTAGCTACATAATTTGAGAATCTTCAAGTTTATATATATATATATATATATATATATATATATACATATATATATATATATATATATATATATATATATATATATATATATATATAAAGCTTTTCTAGGACTGTGGACTAAAACAGCATGCTGCAGAAAAGAAGCTCACCGTGGGATATTTGATATGCTGTTAGAATGTTAATTTATCTTTTGTTAGAATAGAAGTTTGGTCATAAATTTAAAAGGTTGCACAGGGACTTATGAATTTCTTCCAAATATGTACATTTTTGAAACCACAGAAAACATCTTACTGTTTTCACAGGGACTGTAGTTTGCTTTAAAAAACCTATTCTATGTTTATACATATCATCTTATAAGTTATGTTTTCAAATGGTATAACTAAATTATGATTGTAAATCTCAACCAAGTGTGGGAAGTGAGGACTTCATGAAGATTAAAGCATCTTACACACAGAACTGTCCAATTATGGGCAGAAGTCCAACTGGTGTGCCTTATGGGACCCTCATTGATTCATTATTTGTGCCCTAGGCATTGTGTTGCACCTGGGATTTCCGAGATGATTAAAACATCATCCCAGTTTCTTTTTTCTTGAAACCCCCAAGTAGGGCATAGTGAATTGATTTTGAACTAGAATTGTAATTATCTTTTTTCAAATGAACATTTGGTCCTTCACTTAGTGGTTCAGATGAAGGGGAGAAAGCAATCACATTGTACCCATAGGCCTCTAGTGGATAAAAATCTTACAATAAATATGCAGGTGATTCATTCATAATGTATAGCTTTTGTAGTTTATAAATTTCACTTGAGTTGTACATTTAATTCCCTTTATAATTTCCTGATTAGGCCAGGCTTGAATTAAAAGCCCTGTTTATAGTTACTCTAAAAGAAATATAAAAGAAGTGATATAAATGTACACCCTAGAAAAAAAGTAGAGAAATAATAAAGTTGAAATTCCAGGGTCAGTGCTCCCTCTGTAGCATTTCATTTTCTGAAAAAAGAGGAGCCCCGCATGTTGATCCATAATCCATGGATTTAAATTCTCATGTTGTATTGACTGAGTTAATGTTGTTCAGTTAGCTAGGAAGTCAGCTAAGACTTGGTGAAAATGTCACCTCTGCTGGGAAACTCATATGGATTAGACTGATTAGGATTCTCTCTCTCTTTTTTTTTTTTAACTCTTGCAGTTGCTACAGTAATAAATTAATTACTTTCTAAATTATTCTTTTAAATTTGCATTCTGTACTGAAGTGTGAACTTCATGAGGCTGTTTCTCTTCACTGGTCCATTACCACTCTGTGCATCACTGGGCTCTAAACAGCAGGTCTCTGTTCTTTTCTTTACATATTCCAATTCCATGTTTCCTCAGGTCCTTTGCGGACTCTCCAGTGCTTGGGATATTCTGCTGAGAGCCAGTGAATTGGGCTCATTACCTGGTCTCAACATGCCAACTCTTTAAAGAGCTTTTTCTTTACAATCCCAGTGAAGTATCTCATGTTCTCCTTTCTTTGCATTGTATAATGGAGCATTATTTGACATTATTTTATCATTTTTCTATGCTTTATTTAAAACTTCCCTGAGAACATGCATTTAACCTTTTTTTAAAAAAAATAAAACAAAACACTTTTACCCCATTTCCTCCATGATGCCTGTCACATCATACTTACAAATAACACTTTTGTTGAATGAATGAATATATGAAACCTTAGGTCTGATATGCTCATTAATTCTTTTAGAAGACAAGAAAACAAGTACATGGCTATTTTTTAAAAAAATATGTTATGACCCACCTACAATAGTCCTGTATACTACACTTTAAGAAATGCAAATTAATTATCAAGTATTTATGTCTTAGTGTCTTTCCTCCTGGGAAATATATTATAAACTTCCTATGGATATATTCTCTTCCCTCCTCCTTTAAAGTGTGTGCGCACACACACACACAAAGTGCATGTATGGCACATAGTGGTTGTCTAGGAAGAATGCATTTAATAAAATATATTTGTGTACTTATCTAGGGGTAGTTTATGGTGTTTGGCCATATGTATTTTTTTCTCAGTAACAATGAGGTACTTGTCTATGCAACGAGTCTATTTTGGTAACAAATAAAAACTTTTCTTCTCATATCCACAGGATTATACCTTGACAATGTACTTTCAGCAAGCCTGGAGAGATAAGAGGCTGTCCTATAATGTAATACCTTTAAACTTGACTTTGGACAACAGAGTGGCAGATCAGCTCTGGGTGCCTGATACCTACTTCCTGAATGATAAGAAGTCATTTGTTCATGGAGTGACTGTCAAAAACCGCATGATCCGCCTGCATCCAGATGGCACAGTCCTTTATGGCCTCAGGTCTGTAGTATCCATTTTAATATTTAACTTTTCCTGAACAAAATAATTATTGATTTTTGTAACAGAAGAGTAATGTGCTGTTTTCTTTACTCTGCCTGCAATTTTGCTGATAAACAGTTAAACCTCCTATCCAGTAAATATCTGAGAGCTTAGGATAGCATGTTTACAAAGGGACTTAGCGCCAGCTAAGACTAAGTTTTTTTTTTTCTGAATTATCTTCCAAAATCAGTTGCTGATCCTAAAGCTGCTTTCTTTAAGGAATAGGGATAAACAATATCAAAATAAGAGATGCAAGGTTTCTTCAGAATGGAAAAAAAAAAAATCATGGATGCTGAATGATTGTGTTTGAATGTGGCAGATGCTCTGTTTTGTAAATTGCTCCTGAGCTGCCTGAACTGGGTCATGGTCCTCTGATGACAGGAAGGCTTAGTGTGCCCTCGCACACTCCAAGGAGCATTCTGACCCGAAAATAAACAAAGTATTTGTCTTATGCTTATTAGTAGGATATTCATACTCTTAAAGGTACCTCCCTGTCAGAAAAAGAATTGTGATGCTATGCTATGTGGATAAGGATCATTTTAAATTAGGCAATTTCTAATTTTAAATTTTATTTTATATTAAAAGGAATGTATGACTTCCCGGGGAAAATGAAGAAAATACACACATGCGCGCGCGCACGCACACACACACACACATATTTCTGAGAATAATACAAGGCAGAGAATTTCTTTTCATTATAGTTTACATCTACTCACCTGGCATTTGATTGCATTTGATCAACAATTGATACAGATCATAGTGTGGACATAGTGCAGTGGTGGAAATAAGTCACTGTTGCTAATAAAATAACATTCATCAAGGATGTATTATAGTGGAAGATATTACAAATTTTAACATTTTCAGTAACCTCTGATCTATTCTATTTTATGGAATGGTGATGATAGTACTAATAATAAATAATATTATCCATTGATTGAACACTATAGTTAAATGTTGAGCTAAGTGTTTCCCATGCATTTTCATACAGTAGTCTCCCCCTTATCTACAGTTTGACTTTCTTCCATTTCAACTGTGTGGTCTGAAAATATATAAAAAATTCCAGAAATAAACTACATGTTTAAATTTGCACTATTCTGAGTTACATGATAAAATCTTAGTTGCCATCTGGCTCTCTCTCACCTGGGATGTGAATCATCTTTTTGTTCCGTGTTTCCTTGCAGTATATGCTACCCAACTATTAGTCACTTAGTAACTGTCTTGGTAATCATATCCTATCAAAGTATTGCAGTGCTTGCATTCAAATAACCCTTATTTTTCTTAATATGGTCCTAAATTGCCAGTTCACATATGCCACTTTGGCAGTTCACATGTGCCAAAGAGAAGTTGTAAAATGCTCCCTTTAAGTGAAAAGGTGAATGTTTTTGAGTTACAAGGAATGAAAAAGCATCATACACTTAATTTGCTAAGATCCATAATAAGGAATGTATCTTTTAAGTGTAAAATTGTGAAGAAGGAAAAAGATTTCCAAGCTAGTTTCCTCTCCCACCTCAAAATGTAAAAGTTATAGCCACAGTAAGTGATAAGTGCTTAGTTAAGATGGAAAAAGCATTAAAATTGTGGGTGGAAGACACGTCAAGAAAATGTGTTCCCATTGACAATGGTATCTTCTGCTAAAAAGAACTGAGCCTAAGAAGACTTTGACCCAGGATCCCCAGAAACCATTGACACCAAACCATTTACTGCAAGAAAGGGATGGTCACACCAATTCAGAAATAGGTTTAAACTGAAAAAAAATATAAAATTTACTGGGAAGGCTGCATCTGCTGATGCAGAAGCTGCTGTCACATTTCTGGCAGAATTGAAGAAGCTGATTAAGGACAAAGGATCGCATCCAAAGTACATCTTCAAATTCAGTGAAACTGAGCTCTTTTGAACTAAGATATGCAATCGAACCCACATTCAAAGAAAAAAAAAGCAAAAACAAAGGAAATGAGGGCGTGAAGTATGGAATGGCAGGTTGTCAACTCTGGTACTGTGAGGCAATCGGGCATGTGAGAAAGTCAGGCATAGGATGCAGAGTAGAGAATACACATGCAGTTGAAACAAAAATGAGTTTTCTGCCCATGTTCTGGCAACATAATCAGAGAGAGTGGGCAACAGCCATCCTGTTTATGAAAAAGTTCTTCTAGTGCTTCATCTCAGAAGTGAGAAAATACTTGGAAGAGGGAAAGTTGGAATTTGAAGTCCTATTAATAGTAGACAGTGTCCCTGGCCATCTTGAAACTGCTTACTATGTAAATCAAAATGCCCACATTCTATGTTTACCTCCGAATACAATCTCATTGCTTTAGATCCTTGGCCAGAGCATTGTTCAGTTTGTCAAGGCCACTTATATCCACCTGGCATTTGATTGCATTAGATCAGCAGATGATATAGACCTTAATCTGGATATAATACAGCAATAGTAATAATTCACTATTGCTGATGAAATAATATCCATCAAAAATTCCAATGATGAGTTGAAACAAGACATTGTCAATATCCTTGGGAGTAACTTAAAGAGTGAGGTAATAAATTATGGTAAAGTCTTCCCAGGGAATGATGGAAAAGTTAAGAAAATCATTTCCAGGACAAGGCAAGTAGGTGGAGAAGGATTTGCCAACACACTTGGTGAAAAAGTGGAACAACATATGGAAGGCCATCAAGAAGTGTTAACAGATGAGGAATTTTAAGAACTCAATGAGTCTCCCATAGAGACAGAATAAGATGAAGAAGAAAAACCTGAAGCAGAACCAGCAGTGTGGGCATTCCTAAAATTTGCTGAAGGATTTCTAATTATGCAGACATGAAGGGACAAGACTATGGAATGTGATCCTCAGATGGAATGCAGCATTAAATTTACCCATGTGATCACTGAAGGATTACAACCCCTGCAGTAATATGTTGATGAGTTCAAGAGGAAGACCAGCAACTTCTGGTTATGATGTTCTTCCAAAATTTTTCTGCAATCAGCTACCAAAGATCACTAACCACTGACATTACCTCATCCTGACATCCACCCATCAATATTGTCATGGCTCTGCGATCCCAGATCACTCGCAGCAGATGATTCTCCTCCTGAAGCAGTGTCAGAAGGTCCGTGGTCACCTAATGCTGCATCACAATGCCCTTGCCAGTCACTTCTCTGCATCTCCTCGGGCTGGCTTTGCATCACCTCACATCATCTCATAAGAAGGTGAGTGCAATAAGAAAATTTTTCCATTCGCCTAAACTCAAGTACTGTGTGGTTATAATTGTTCTATTTTATTATTAAGTACTGTTATTAATCTATTACTATGCTTTGCTCTATAAATAAAACTGTACCATGGGTGTTTATGCATAGGAAAAAGCATAGTATACATAGGGTTTGGTACCCCCACTCTATGGTGTCAGGCATCCACTGGAGATCTTGGAAAACATTCCTCCCAAGGATAAGGGGGAGCTACTGTATTAATCCTTATAATAGCCCCACATATTAGGAACTGTTATGAGTTTACATTCAAATGAACAAACAGAAGATGATGAGCCTTGCCCAAGAACACACACACACAATAAAAATCATTGGAGATGTTATTTGAACTCTGTTCCAGTTTCAAAACCAGAGCCCAATGCTACACAGGGATACCTCTACTTGAATATTTTTCTTACCTGTTTTATCTCATTTTTATTTTCTGCTTGACTCATGTGTGATCATAGACCCTGAGATTCAGATTCTGTTTATCATGGTTGTAGAGGGAATGGCATTTAGCTGTCAAGGGAGGGAGAAAAAAAAAAAAAAAAAAACAACAAAGGAAGGACATAGAGGGAGCCCTGGAGGCAAAATAATGGATTAGACACCCACACTGCTCACGTACTTGCTTCTTTAGGAAGGAAGAAAAACAGAGAGAAAATACACTGAACATTGTCTGAAAAAATTCTACCACAGTGGTGACTTTAAAAATCACAATGGAAATAATTGTGTTCAGCAGATACATTTTGCTAAACATATATCTTGAAGTCAACCACGTAACACAGCCAATCACAAAGACCTTAATGAATGAGTGGCCATGTAGACCATGGAAAACATGGAAAGGTTGTAGCTCCCACTTCTTAAAAGTTAAGCATAGAGAGAAGTAGGGATCTGGAAGAAGGCAGAGGAGAGACAGAAATAATAAGTTGGCCATTGGGCAGGGAGGACTGCTAATGGCAAGCAGTGGCCACGCAGCGGACTCAGTGATGGACATACTTTTCCCATCAAATCATCTCATCTTTAAAGAATTCATGCAGAAATCATCCCGAGCTCTTACTCTTTCCCTGCAATACTCACCTTTAGGATAGAGATCTGTTGTATTTTGTTTTTAAATCCAGTACTGATACTGGCTGCGGGCGCACATACCTGTATTCCGAGAGGCTTGGGAGCCTCAGGCAGGAGGATCATGAGTTCAAAGCCAGCCTCAGCAACTTAGTGAGGCACTAAGCAACTCAGTGAGAAACTGTCTCTAAATAAAATAAAATATTTAAAAAGGACTGTTGGAGGGACTGGGGTTGTGGCTTAGCTGTAGAGCGCTCACCTAGTGCAACTGAGTTCGATCCTTAGCACCACATAAAAATAAATAAATTTTAAAAGCAAAGTTATTGTGTCCAACTACAACAAAGAATAAATAAATAAATATATTTTTTTTTAAAAAAAGGGAGCGGCAGGGGATGTGGCTCAGTGATTAAGTGCGCCTGGACTCAATCCCCAATATCAATAATAATAATAATAATAATGACAACAAAAACAATATGAATAACAAATCCAGTACTGACAAAGCACCTACATGTAAATAGCAACTCAGTGAATATTGGGAATGAATTTGTGAATGCATACATATGTAGTTGAGTGTACAGGAAAATCGGCAATCAGAATATCTTCGGAATTGAGAGAGACGAGGAATACCAGAACAGATGATGAATTGACTTCTTTGCATTGTCACTAGTCA